ATTTTGTTTTTGCTGGAAAGAGGGAAAGGCTGCTGCCACCTTTTTACCAGTTCTTGATTACTGTGACTAGTGCTAGTATGACCAGTAAATTGCAGTGATCTTGCCAAAAAAGTGATTGCAACTAAAAACGTGGTACATTACTGTTTTAATTAATTATTACCTTATTTCTGTTAAAAACATACAACTCCACATAATATGTTTTTGGAAATAGTGTTTTCTTGAGTGCCATATCATAGGCTACTTTTGAATGGTCTACATGCACCAATCTGTCAGAACATTGGATGACATATTTCCCACTAAGAATAAAGTGAGAAGTGGTGCAAGAAGTACTCAGAGTGAAATGAAGGTGATCAGTTATGGCCCAGGAAAAATCACAGTATAGTGGTTGTACTAGAACCTTAAAGCAGAGTGAATTGTTTATAATCTTTAAAATATACCCCACAAGAGTAAGATAAAAATCATCTGAAGCAGAAATCCCTTTTGGTGACAAAGTATCAGCTGTAATCACTTTTTGGAAGGAAGAAAACTGCAATTTACTGGAATACTAGCATTTTAAAGGTACTGAAACTGTAATCTTTAAAATATAACCCAGAAGAGGGAAATAAATACAATCTGAAGCAGAAAACCCACTGAGCCATGAACATCTTAACAGTAAAAATTTAAATAAAAAATCATGAGAACCTCCTTGTTGATTTCCATGGCACAAAGCACAGAAAATGTAACTAATCTTTAAATGTATTTGGATTGAAATTACTGTATCTATAGCTATTGATTTAGAATACTGTGAAAAGTAGTTTCTAAAAAAATACATTAAATGAGGCACCTGCCACTTTGAAATACAGACAAGCTGGAAAAAATAATTCAACAGAATCTACAGCTCAATCACAAATCTTCACTCTATGTAAATTTCTATACTCATTTTATCCCAGAAGAGGATGCACCACAGTTTCTATTTGGAAAGTGTCATGTGCCAGCTTGGCTCCTGAATATCTATCATACTGATTTGAGCCCTGCATTCATTATCTGAGTGGCTGCTGGTTCCAATTTGAAGTGAATAATAGGGGTCATAGGAGGCACAAGACTCAAAGAAAAAATATGTTTTGCATGAAAAAAAGGCTTGATCATTAAACAGATTTATTTAGGTTAAAATAAGGCAAAAAGAATTCACAAACAGGGCTGTGGCAAGGAATTTAGAGATACTCAGGCCATGGGTTTCCCCAGTTCACCAACATGTTTTTTGAATGTTGTTAAATGTTAGGATGTTCTACATTTTATTTATTCAGTTAACGATTCAATTATATGTTTCTATAATTGTCCCCCAACATGAAGGCCTAAATGCTGAACAGAAACCTTCTCCACACCACAAGAAATAATATTCTCAGTGGTGGCTATTGCATTGTTTATGAAATACAACAACTGTTGAGTCAAAGGTTTAAAATTACATTGACAATATTAAACAATTAGCATTACATAAAGTAAGGGAGACCAAGGAATGATTTATGTTCACTGGATGACATTGGAACTAACTGCATCCACAATCCATTTCTATACATTGCGTTTTTATATCAGAAAATTGCATTTTTCCTCTTCAAGCTGAAATCATTGCAAAAGAAAATCCAAGCAGAAGAAAGAAATAAAAGCTGTTTAGGTTTAATCTAAACATTTCTTCCATTTTCAAATATACATTTACAATATAAATATCATTCTTACGAAGCATATTTATGCCGACAGGAGAGAAACAAACATTGTTAAATCCCTTTTATTTCAAGCCAAATTCATTTAAAGTCATGTTACAGACAGAGACTGAGTTCATTTGCAATTTTTTAAACATGTCTGTTTTTTAAGGTTAACATGTTCAAGCCTAAACACAGCCTCCTGCTTTGGCCAGCCGAACCAAGCACATAGGTGGCAGAATCCTTTGCTATGCTTTGAAGAGTGCTGGCTTAAAATGTCCAGCTCTCTTTGGCTGTAGTACTTGTGCCTGTGTCTTTTTTGCATCATCATTGCCTGTGGTCTCTTCAAGTACAACACATTTTGACAGGAGCCTGTTTGGAAACCCTTATTCCCAGTACTGGCTGAACCATTTTGTAGCAAAAAAGTGAAATTTGCTTTTTCAATTAGATGAAGCACCAAATACAGATTACTGCATGTAGTCTCAGTCATTCTGACAGCAGAATGAAAGTAGGGTATATTTTGTCTGGCCTCACATCTGTATTCAGTGGCTGTGCATTTTACAGCTGCTGAATCAACAAGTTGGCTGAACTTTATGTGACCTTGATTTGAAGCATGTAAGCAAAGCACTAAAGCAACTGGACAAGCAATTATTCAGTATTTGCATGCAGGAA